TGCTGAGCAGAGAAGCAGGCTTCATAGCACTTAATGGATACTGATGACTGGGATTATATCAACAGGAGCAAGATTGCATTTTTGGATAGAAATTTCAGAGGCAGAGTAAGGAAATTAGCAGCCAAAATACTTGAAAGCTGCATTATACTAGTGCACATTTCAAAACGCCGATTGCCTGCTATTTTATGAAGAGATAAGTATGTTCCAGGGTTAATCAGATTTTGGCCATTACCAGTACCCAGTGTATTTCTTTTCTAATTTTGAACAGAAAAGAAGAAAATGCTTTCTCAATTCTTTTGATTTGCACCATACGGACTACTAAGTGCAGCCAGCAACTACTTTTAAATGCTGCAGTTCTTTCACTGAGGCATTATTATCCTTTGTATGATGAAAGTAATTTTCTTTATGTCTTCAGGAGATTCTAGTATTCTACAAAGCAGAAAGGCCTCTCAAGACTTAGTTTCTAAAAATAGCTTACAGTCTTTCAAGAAGATGAAGGATGAATCTTTCAAGGGGTGAGCATGATTATTCTGTTTATTACTTTCTTATTTGCATTTCTGGATCTTGAGGATCCTATAGTAGTAAGCACTGGAAAATGAGTTGTTTTTTTCTTAAACAGAGTCCTCACTTCAAGAATTGCCAAACTGACTTCACATAGCTGTCATTCAACCTACAAAGCTGAAAACTGATCTGCAGCATTATCAAAAAGCAATATGTACTTGGAGATTTTCAGGAATACACTGAGCTTCTTTAAACCTCTTCCCTCAGGCAAAATGTCATGCTATTACAGAGGAAGAGGACCCTTTGTGTGGCTAATTCATAAATATGTCATTCTGACCTGGTTGTCAAGGATGATCTTTAACAAAAGAAGCAGTTTTCTGTTGGAAGAACACTCCACAACCTTGTCTTTGCACCCAGACTTTGTTTTCACATGTAAATTAATCAAAAATTATTTTGATAATCTTGGTTAGGGCTCCTTCACTTCATGTTGTAAAAAAAATGAAGCAAATGCTAAAAGAGAAGATCTATTTAGAATAGATCATGATGGTTGCCCAGCTATACATTTTTATCCACTTTGTAATCTCAAAAATATTTCACTTCAATTCTCTAAGAATTCCTTAAGAAATTATTAAATTGTGGACATCTTTCCACAAAAAAGGAAAACGTTCAGTCCCAATGTAATGTCTATTATACTTTTTAATTTGATGTATGATATTTATGAAATGCTACATACGTGACAGCCCCCTTTTTCTGACAGCCCATCTGCAAGAAAACTCAAGATCACATGGGAAACATTTTGTGAGAATCTGGCATAGACGACTGCAGACAGAATGCTATTCAATAGTTACTCTGCCTTAAGTACTTTTTTTTTTTTTTGAGAGAAAGTGAGCGAGGTTTAAAGCTTTAATCTCATACCCAAGCTCGTCAGAGCCCAAATCTATCTGTAATACTCTCCAAATCAGAATGAACTCAGAAGGATGACGTTCAATCTTTAAATCCTTCTCTGCAGAGTTATTTTTAACTCACAGGTTCATAAAATGGATCCCTGCTATGGCTCCAGAGCTTTCTAACACGTATCCTACCTATTACGTCTGGCACAACCGCACGTTAGAACTCAGTTGCGTTTAGAACTGAAAGTTTTCCTTGCACGATTGCCTGTGTAGTGTGATAGAAACAACTCGATGTGACAGAACTCTCCCATTGCCACTGGTGGAAAACCAATTATCTCCTCTCCTGGCCACTGTTACTTTTTTCACCTCCACCAGTCACTCTAATTCTGATATTCTGGACACTTCTGAACAATTTTTTTATCTTCTTATTTTGCTTTCTTCTCCATAGGCCAATGTAATAAATAAGGTGCTGTGTAAATAATGTCAAATAAGACATTTTTTCATGTCTTGAAACATTTCCTCAACAAATGTATTTGTTCAGTCCCTTTCTAAATTAATTCCCAAATAATGTAAAAAGGATATTGAAATCTTTCATACAATGATTATTGCCAACCATAATTCACAAGCTTTCCAAAAACCCCTGTAATGTGTCAGGCCATTTCTGGTTTATTTCTGCAAATCAGTCCAGCTAAACCGGATTAGAACTGACATGTCTTCTCAACTATAGGTAAATATGATCAAAATATACAATATTTTGATGATCTGAAGCAGGAATTGTATAATAAGCCACAGTTGTTTCTTAGATTCCAACTGAATGTAGTTTATTACAGTAAATGGTCATGAACTAGCATAGTTTTTACCAATGGAAACAGATTTCTGTTAATGACCTGAGGATATATATGTATCTCCAAATGAAACTGCAGGCTACATCCACTCCCTACAGCAATAAAGTCTTCATTAAGACACTATTTGATACACGTTCATGTAAATTTGGCAGAATAACATTTTGTAAACATTCTGGAAATCTTCATATTCCTCATTTTGGCATTAATTTTCTGCTTTAAAGTTTCCCGGAAAAAACGTACTCTGGAATAACTTTATATTTTAATTATAGTTTGATGAAGGTGCATAGTGAACTGACACTGAACCTGCACTGTCCTCTGGTGTTATGAATGATTTATTCTACCAGTTCACATCCAATTTGAAATAAAAATATCTGTCATCTTTGCTGATGAACTGATACCAGATTTAAAAGCTCTGGAGGATTTATTTCCTCAAGGGCATTTCCTGACTTCAAAACTCACACTAAAAATCCTTAATGATAATACTCTGATTTTCTAAAGATTTGGAGAAATCTTCCTCACTCTGATGCATCCTTCACATCTTGAAAGAAAGATCTATATCCGAGTTATTAAAGCTTATATTCCAAAATCCTGTTGACTCAGACTGCATTCACCACTTTTGTTTAAAGCCGATCAAGGTCAATGGAAATACTGCCCTCAGTGAGTTTCAGGTGATGTCTTTTGAGACAAGGAAACCCAAGTCTCTAGAATCCCATGTGAAGCTTACTTCTGACTTCCTCCTAATGTTTAGAGCAAGATGATCTTGAACTACAGGAAGTCCTCAATATATGTTTTTGGAAGAGTTATGAATGCTATCAAACAGAACTAAAATAACTTTTTAATATTACACTTCCATTTCTTCCTTTCATGAGGTTTTTGTTAGACAAAATCCTGCTGATAAACCAAAAGAGACTGTGCAAAAAGCAAGGGAAACAGAAGAACAAAAGTAAAAGGAAAAATTGAATCCACCAAGAGATCGCTGTACCTCTAAATGATGCGCTCTGTGGCAGCAAATCACTGAAGTCTCCAGTACCATCCACTGTCTTTATGGCACTCTATTACAGGTGACTAATTTCAGCTTGCATAGAACTTACCTCTTGCCCAGTCAACCCTTCTAGAATGGGATGAAACATATTGGATATCTCTGAATTATTAGGTCTTTTCAGAAATGTCTACCTACTCCCAGGTTAAACCTCAGAAGAATAAGTATTTTTTTGATTTATTAAACCACAATATTCTTATTAGAAGCTAGTAAAAGAATAGTTCAAAAAAGAACAAAACGTCTTTCTTTAGCTTAATATAAATGGAAGAAATTTTTAACTGACAACTAACAAACCAGCATACATGCCACCAGAAATAACATAAGGAAATACCCAAAGCATTTTCCTGGAATAATATTTATCATCCCAAAAAATTCTGTGACTTCATTATCATTCAAAACAGTTTGGTACAAAGATTTATATAATTTACTTTTTTGTTCCTTGTTTACACTATATATATTCTCACTCTTATTTATTACACAACTTTCAGTGAATTAGAAAATATACCCAATTTACTTAAATAAGGTCATTATTATTACACCCATTTGACACTGGTAAAATGCACGCAATAAACTATCCTGGGATATCTGCTTCAAGCTGAGGAGGAAACGCACTTACTATTTTAAGGGCATTAATAGGGAAAACCACTTTGAATCTTAAGCAGCCAGAATTAAGGCAGCTCTGTAATCTTGGAATGAAATGAAAAAACACCACAGTGAACAAATTCTGTGGGGTGAAGCACACAACAGAAAAGTGGCCCAACCACCATATGAAATCAGCCCAATTGTAGGAGAAGGTTCTGACTGTGCATAGGGTAAGTTTAGGTTATGGTCAGGGTTAGGGTTAGAAAAACAAAGGGCATGGCCCTTATCGGCATCAGCCCTTTTCCTGCTGTTGTAGGTCTTCCACCACTCTGAAAGAGACTGGACTCTGGACCCCTTACCTATACCACAGTCCCATCCAAACAGAACTCGTACTCAGGATCCTTTTTCCACATTTGGGAAAAAACCTCCACATGGTGACTACTGAAACATGCTACTCTCAATTAGGAGGCAAGATGCTGAAGTCACAACATTTGATGGAAGAAAGGACATGTTTATGCGTGTGCGTACACACAGACACACACACAAAGACGCAGATGCTCACTTACAGTCTACTTCCAAAATGGCACGGACAGACTTGGCGAGGTCTCTGGCTTCTGCTGCAAGAGCTGTTGTGACAGTAGGTCCAATCCTTCCCAATCGAGCAAGAAGTGCTTTAGTGGATAATGTTGTTGTTCTGTCACTAAGGAAAAAAAAAAATAGTTAAGTGGGGTTTTTTTTGTAAGATTATAAAAGAAATGGTTACTTTAAATAAAGTAAACTTGTGTTTCTAGATTGGTTTTGGTCTTATTGCATGAACAAAGGAGATTCATACTAACAAATTGAAGAGTTTGCCTCAGAAGTGGTTCTGTCTGTACAATAAAGCTATTAGGAAAGTTCAATTCAAACACTACAGTTCAAGTGTCAAAATCTAGTGTCAAAAACTCAGTAGGCGTCAGAAAAGTGACTTACTTAAATGCTAATATAAAAATTACTTTTAAGAAGGGACAGTGCTTTAGGGGACCCAATTCTCACCTTCTACACTGTTAGTGAGTCAGTTTGTCACCTTAGCTTTGTGTTTTATACTTCAATCCATTTACTAAAATAAAGTCTCCAAACTTTATAAAACATGCAACATCACTCTTGTGCAGTGCCAATGGGAACTGCATTTAATTGATAAGGATTAGCATATAAGAACACAGACATCTACAATATAATAGTTGATTTGATCCTGCAGATTTTTTTTGAAATGAAGTTCCAGCTAACTTCACTGAAATAGATCTGATTTCCTCGAGAGCTTTACTGAAAAAGATGGCAGGATAGAGATCAAACAACTTTACTTTTACTAGCTGGGATATATAGGCACAATCATGCTGATGTTCTGAAGGACAAAGGCTGCTCTAAATCTTGTTGGATATTCCTAGGTACCTTTTTAAACAAGAAAAGTAATAAAACTTAAATAGTATACATCTTATCAATTTATTTATATTACTGGATTAATGATGATACAAAATCACTCGAGCAAATCTAAAAAATACAAAAATTATAACCCACTGTTAAGGTTCCTTGCAATTTTAACTAATCCTTAGTACATTACACTTACTTTACTGAAACATCCAGACAACCGTAGCTATGTAATTACTAACTGTTTTAATTTAATTCTGTGGGTTTTAATGAAGCTGTTTCCTGAAAGCCTAGTTTATAATTCATGCCATTCCACCTCCTCCAATAAAATAACACTTAGAAACATACCGCAAAAAATATAGGAAAAATAGCTACAAGACAGTCTTTGGAGACTTTGAAACAATAGTAGAATTTTTCAATATTAATATTGCCATTTCAATATTAATACTGATCCCATTTCATTACCTTAAAATTGTCGAGGAAGTAGAGTTATCTGAAAGTATTTCATGCACAACCTGTGGGCCATAGTTAAGAGGTTAACAGTTTATAAATCGACAGTCAAAAAGTTAATTTGATGTTCTGTTTGGGTGTGGAGGATTTGATTTGCAATTAAAGAGTCTAGTCTCTCCCAGCTAGAAGTGTAGAAGTAAAAACCAAAATATTATAAGCCCTTTAAATGAAATAAATATCAGAACATCACTTTTTTTGTTTCATAACATTTTAAAATATTATAAAATATTACTTTTTCTGCCTTTTTCCTGTGGGGAATTTCACATGAAATGATAGAAGATTGTGAAAAATTAGATGAAAAAAAATCTCTGATCAGTTTCATTTGTTTAGTGTACAGCAAAACATAAAGATTAAGTAAATTCCTGCATTGATCTGTACACTTATACACCATCTTTATTTCCAGCAATGAAAGGATCTCTGCAAACTAGTTTCTAGACAGTTTACTATGTTTATTCCTCAGAAACATCAAACCAAAACTTTAATGTTGCTAGAAATGATAAGTAAAGTTACCTCCACAAATTGCAGCAATTTTTCAGTAGCCACCTCAAAGGTCTTCCTAGCTGATTCTGATTTCCGCAGCTGGCAGTCAAGCACAGTAACTCTCTTTCTCAAGTCTTGGATGTTATCCTGGAAAAGATATTTGAAGGCTTTTATTCTAGTAATTTTCTCCTATGGCTCACATAGACATAAGGTGTGAATTGAAATGGATGTCTGAAATGTTTAACACGCACTCCTTTCTACATTAACAAAACAGAGCCGCCCTGAGGCAGGTATGCCTGATCGGCTAGTAAATCAGCTCCCAAACAGCAAGAGGTTTTGGCAAACGATATAAAGGTAAATTGAAATAGGCAGCTAACAACAGTGATAGAGCTGAAACTTAAGACAGTTCGAACTGATTCATGAATGGATCAAAAATCCCAACCCGACGGTGACAGTATCTGTCAGCAGGGCAGCATAAACAGCCAGTACGTGAACAAACTCAGTCCATTAGTTTGCGTCTGTACAGCCTTTGGCCACCACAGTGATTATGGCATAGCTTGGAGAAAATTACACCCTAGGATTTCTCTACATGCACTTGTATAACCTACTGATCAGTGTTATGCATCCCTTCTGTACTTCACCTACGGAGGCTGTGAGCCCCATTAGATCGGGTTCTGGAGGCTCAAGCTTTCAGCCTAAGTCCCTGGCACTGTTCGTGTGAGAGGACCACGGGTAAAGTTTTCAAACGTATATGGGGATATTTGTTTAGGCAAGCTGTCTGCTGAACAGACGATCAGACCAAAATACTCTCCAAAATTAAGAAAATATCACAATCATTAAAAATAAACTTTTACATCACTGTAGGTCATCTTTTCTGAAAGCCTGCCACCTACTATAAAATCCTTATAAAACCAACCAAAACCCACTTATTATCTTTACTTGAAGCAAATGCATATACACATTTGTTTGTATACACTGCACAAAGCAGCAGAATCATGATCACTCTGAACGTCAAAGAAGCTGTTGATTAAAACACCTTTCTTTGGTAATCTCACTGCCTGCTATTGCAGAAGGAGCTGTAAGCCCTCAGAGGGACCTCACTCTTTTATACTAAAAAGAGTATATTATCGAGTTGGTACCTACTTCTTTTGAATAAGAAATGCAGAGAATCAAATCTCAACTTAGATTTTTGAGTACTCACTCAGAATTTCAGGAATTCAAGCTAGCATCTCAGAAACAACTCTCTAAGAAAACAACTCATACACTCTGAATTTCTTAAAGTTTTGATATTTATTCTAGTCCTAGAAAACACACTGTGCTTCAAAAATACCTGACATAAGCGATGGGGCATCTCACCCAGATGTTCAGAAAGAAGAACCTCTAGGGTATGATTCATCTCATCATACACACAATTAGATGAGAGGAATTCCTCCCTGGAAGCTACGTGTAATTGCAATGTTGCTTCTTCGCAAGCTCGTAGGCCATAGAGTCAGGTTTACCTTTTAATACCTTATAATATTGAATTAATTCTCATGATGAAATAAGGCAACATTTCAGTAGGTTTTCTTTATCAATTCATATGCACATGCATTTTTCATGAGACAAACAAGGTAAACACACAAATGCCAACCTGCTCGCACTTGTTCAAACTGCGTGTAGAAAATGGATCCACAATTATGGGAAAAAAATTTAAAAGTACCTCAAATATTTTATTCCTTAGCCATGTTTTGAAATGCCTCACTGGAGACAAAGTGGTTATAAAATATGAGGCTCAATTAAAAACAAAATCTTTTTTTTTAGCAGGATTCTGTTAGTAGCATTTACATGATTATCTTGATTAAATCTAAATTTACTTAAGAACAGTACTGGACTTTATGTTTTTATTACTTGACTAACAGAAACATAAAAATGAAGGTCATTTTTGCATAAATACAAAAGCGTACAAATATACATATAGTCTTTAAAGACAATATATCTGCAGTCCAGAAACTATTCCATGCTTTAACGCTTGAAATGTGCCATTTTGACCTATGACCCACATACGCTTCTAGCTCCTAGTTTTCCAGCTCAAAGATATCTGGAAAAAGGAAGACTCATACACTTCACATTACCCCCTTCGCTACGCATCATTCCAGTTATTGAATAATACAAGACAAACAGTGACCTACTTTAGAAAAGCAGATGAAAAGAAAATGAAAACAAGATACATGACAACAGCAAGGAAACCATGGTAACTACGACAGGCGACTGCTTTGCTTACTTTATTTTGGCCAGAATGATCGGCAAGCTGAGCCTTCAGCTCTACAATTTCAGCTTCTAATAGGCGAATTACTTCTTCATAGTCCATCTCCATTCCACGAGCCTGCCTTTGTGCAGCTTCTGCAAGATGAATCCTACTTCGCAGAACTCTTGTCTCTTCTACAGCTGCCTTGGCTTCCTACAGATGACAGGATTTAATTGAAAAGTTACAACTCCAGCTAACAAAGTAGTACAAATTTAGCTCAAAAGTACTGCAGCTGGCACTAGAGCTACCTTTTAGTATTTCTGGTGAGACAGAGATGGTCATGGGTGGCTCTGGGTTCCCCAGTACAAGAAAGACATGGACCTGTTGGAGCGAGTCCAATGGAGGGCCATGAAGATGCTCAGAGGGCTGGAGCACCTCTGCTATGGAGACAGGCTGAGAGACTTGGGGTTGTTCAGCCTGGAGAAGAGAAGGCTCTGGGAAGACCTTATAGCAGCCTTCGAGTATCTAAAGGGGTCTACAGGAAAGCTGGAGAGGGACTGTTTACAAGGGCATGGAGTGACAGGAGAAGGGGGAATGGCCTTAAGCTGAAGGAGAGGAGATTTAGATATTAGGAAGAAATTCTTCCCTGTGAGGCTGGTGAGGCACTGGAACAGGTTGTCCAGAGAGGTTGTGGATGCCCCATCCCTGGAAGTGTTCAAGGCCAGGTTGGATGGGGCTTTGGGCAACGTGGGCTTGTGTAGGGTGTCCCTGCCTGCAGCAGGGGTTGGAACTAGATGATCTTGAAGGTCCCTTCCAACCCAAACCATTCTATGGCTCAGTTGCTAATTGTATGATGTGCAAAGAACAGGTATTTACAGAGAGAGATAATCTTCCTAATAAATTAAATCACAAATTCTATGATTACTGTAAATCTAATTGAATGAAAGGTTTTAAAGAAATGCATCTAGTGCTGTTAATCTGCCCTATCACTTCCATAGTAAAAAGTAGTACTTTAATGAGATATTATTTCATTTTACTATTATTGCCTGAATTCACATTCAATTCAGAGTTCATACATCATATAGATGGACTTCTAATATGAGTATTCAGTTGACATTGTTCTCAAAGTAAATGCTGGATTTTATTTTTCTGCCTAGTTCCTGCTCTTACATCATTATCCTGTATTATCACTGAAGCGCAGTATATAAAATTTATATGTAAGTAATGTATGAAAAACAGGAAATTAGAAACTGTTATCTTTTAATTCAGCAACAGCAATTCCTAGATGTTGTAAAATCTAATTTAGAGAAGGCTATTGCTTAGTCCATTTTACTACTGAATAGTAATTCAAGTTAACTTTGATTTGTAAATTTAAGAAGTCAGACTAAAGGTCTGGGCAACAGACTAGTTTACGCAAGGAAAAACCAAACAAACTGCTCATCAAAAAATGTAGACATACAGGCTCACTGGCACCAAAAGCAGTAAACCATCTTTCCCCTTAGCTTTTTATTAATCTGTGGAAAAATTCACTTTATATGAATTTTCTGAATCATTAAAGTTATAAGCTTTAAATATACAAATTCACAGAGCTAGAAATTCTTTGTACAAATTCCTCAGCTAAGAATACTCAGGTAAATATCCTATTCCTAGTTTACCTATTATATCTTTTTATTGTACCTATTTCCTGGTAGGGAATGGGACTAGCGGGGAAACTGGTAGGGGGAGAGAAGAAACAGACACTAAGAATCTATAATAAGTAGGAAATAATCTTCTAAAAACTAGACTTGAAATCACTGTTTCTGAAAAACCTAAATGACCAAATCTTCCCCTTTTTTGGTGAAAAATCTGATATAATATTTAACAGGTATCATCACATAAATGCCTAGAGAGGTCAGTTAAGTTTACAAAGACAGGTTTAATTCTATTATTTCCTAACTTAGGACGTTTTGTTCTGTGCAATCAATAATATTCAAGTCAGGTTTTCCTATACTTTGTCATAATGTTTTTTCTGTAAAATGATCTACCAATCTGAGTTTCAGGTGACTTTTAACCTGTACACTGTTAGTCTTTATGAACAATATATATTTCAGGCCATAAGTAAACTAATCTCAATGACATATATAGGACATCATCTTCCTCATATTTACAATGCTTTTACAGTGTAATACCAATTTGGATGAGTGCCAGGGACATTTTGGTCTCTTAGAAAATAAAGCATTGGAAGAAGTAATCTCACATGTAGCAAACAGCAAGATCATTAGTGAACACAGATGACGTTGGTGTTATACAGTTTAGAGGTTTCTGTTATAGGAACACAAGTGATAAGAGATACATTTAAATAACCTTTAATTTGTCAGCGAGTATAACGATTATTATTTTTTTCAATTTTGGAAGCACAAAGCACGAGATGAGCCTATTCTACACAATGATCATCTCCACCTGGAAACACTGACTATTCAAAAGCTTCTTGCCGCATGTCCTTCTCTTATTCGGCTAGCCTGTTTTACAGATGTGTTTGCACAGCGCTAAAAGCAGTGCAAGGGGCCGTTACCGAAAGCACCCGCTGAAAGACTGTCTGGCTCCTGAAGACCACCAGCACAATCCACCCCTCCTGCAAGCTGCTCATAGCAGTTCTTTTGCCTAGAAACAATTCAGAGAACACAGGGGCTTCTAAGAAGATAAGAAACTACCTAAGTAGAGGTCAAACTTACTGCCTCTGTTAAGGGCATTTTCTTGCCACTGTAGGAAACAGTGTGACTCACCAGCAAGAAAAGCTGGGCCCTGCTGATACAGAGGATGATTTGGTCGCCTTCAGTAGCAAAGGTATCCTTCAGTAACAGGGGGCAACAGACTCTTGGAGACAAAACTGAAAAGATGCTCCGGTATTAAGTTCGACTAATATAAACGAACACAGAAGCCCTGACAAAGGGTGGCATCTTAAAAATGCACACATAGGAATTATTTAAATACACCGGCAGCAGAAAAGTCATGGGGAAAATGCTATAATAAAAAGGGAGGTCTTCATTTTGAAAGACGACCTCCTTCAGATAAAAGTTTAATCTCCTCTAATCCAGAATTTCCTTTACTCCTCCATTGTTTTTTCAGAAACCCCATTGTTGAATATTAATTTCTCTGTAATAGCAGACTAAGTATGACCAGATTTCAACAGTGAAAGACCTAAAGGAATAATTAACGAACAATGGATTCTTACATTACAATGAAATGATTATCCACACTACAACTGAATTAACAAAATTTTCTGACAAACCAGAGCTGTTTGCTAGAGCAGGGAGGCACAAAGGGAAACGATACCACCAGGTTTCCCAGTTCTACAGTTACTGAAGCTGGCACTGTGGTGACTTGGTGGGTTCTCTTACTTATGCAGGTAAGGAGCCCTCACCAATGAGGAGCAGATGGATTACAGCACACTTCAGCAACATTTTCTCTTGTATGAAGGAAGACGCAACAGAAATGGAATCTGCAGCTGCTAATATTTCATCTATATAAATGCCTGATGGGACCATTTGTCCTAATCTGGTACGAAGCCACTACAACAAGTAAGAAACTGCAGGCTGGAGGAGAGAAACTGAATCCTTACAGAATCAATTTCAAGGTACAGGTTTCTTTCAAAGCCAGGCTCTATTTCTTCCTTGGATAAATTCAAATGTCAGGAGAAGTTTTTATCCGAGTAATATTCCAGCCACCACAAACACTGGAACAAAGGTATTCTTTTAAACTATACAAAAAATTGTAGTTACAATTATGTTTATTCATTAATTTTACATAAATTGTATGCTCAAAACACCCTTTAAAAGAACTTTGAGTATCTTTACTATATATTAAAATAAAAAAGCTAATAAAATAAAAATAAATCCAATACTCCTTTCAGCCAGGGTGAAATAAATTACATACTGCTTCCAAAATAGCAGCCATTCAAGTCCTAGTCTTCAACGCGCCTCTTTTCCCCTTAGAAAACATAAGCGTAGAATAGCAAGTCTTAGCCCTGTGAAGTACAAATCCAGCACTATGGCACACCACAATCGGTGTCCTATCTTTACAGCTTTTCACATTTACTATATTTAGCTGAGGTACTTCAGCTGACAATAGCTGTGTGAACAAGCTCTAGTGAAGAAGAGATCATGCAGGTTGGTATGACCCAGGACTTCCAGGCAGCACAGAATACAGTCAGACTTCTCCAGGAAGATAAAAGACACCATTATAGATTTCACACTCATGGTGTTGACAAGACTTCAGGTACTCAAAAGTGCCTTTCTATGTTTTATGACAATTTCAGCTTTCATATCATTTGAAGAAAGACCTAAAGATATTGCTCTATCATAATCTCAAAGGTAAAAATATATCAATTAATATATTTCAATTGCCATAGACCAATATCAGTAAACAATTAGTACCTCATTTCAAATTTAGCAATATTTCTAATCTTAGTAGTTTATCCTGCTAGCCTCTGGTTCAAGCACTACTTAATGACTGGGTACTAGCAAAATGTGTCCATTAACCAGAATATTTGTATGTCTGTTCTAATTATGCTGCAAGCTCTGCAATTCACAATTAGTAGATAAAAGGAATACCACAAAAGATACTCCTATATATAACTGGTAGCATGTATCCTCATTTAAAACCTTGTTTTTTCAGGGAAGCAGCGATTTTTTAAAAGAACGTTCAAATTATACTGAATTCAGAAGACCTTAAGCACATACTTAAGTTCATTTGTTTGTTTACTTTTAATCAGGTCATTAGAGCTCAATAATGTACTCATTAACTCATTTCACTTCAGCTCAAGCAGGAAGCATCATCAAAAGTTAAATGGCAACTTGTACTGTAAGTAAGTAACCTCTATTTTGTAAACTTTGTATCACTCAATCTCAGCATCAACATTGGTTCTGAACTACAGAAATATATAAAAAACACTTTAAAATACATGAACAGAACTGAAATTTCCATTAAAAGCCTGCTTATATCTCCTAAAATAAACAGGTCGCACAGCGCTGTAATTACACACAATTTATTATTTCTCTTTCATTTCACTACATGGAACCTTTTCAACAGCAGTTACTTAAAAATCAGAGTATTTATGCCCTGGAGGTTTGTACTGCAGAGCTGACCTTCACTGTCACATGACAGTACTGGATAGAAAAATAAAAGTACGAGGACCTCGTGTGGTAGAAAACGGGCATTGCTGCCCTTAAACCAGACCATCTTAAACCAGCTTTGTCCAAGTCTACCTTCCCAGTAAGAGCAGGTACGTGAATCGAAACACTCGATGTCCATACTCTTTGCATTTTGGGGTTTGTGCTCTGTACTAGCTTTAGTCTAGACCAACAGACTCAACATCTGCTCTAGTCTAGAGCAACAGATCGAACATCTGTTAGTGAACGGAAACACGAGGTGCGCTACTGGAACATATTTCCACTTAAGAAGAATCCAGTTTATTTCCCTGCTGTCCCACTGTGTATAGTCAGCAACATCACAACATTAATGGAAAAAGCTTTCAAGCAGTTCTCTTATATTCAAGGAATAAAAGGCGATACTGAAGGTGCTGAACAAATCTACATATATGAGCGAACCCTAATCTTAATATAATCGTATGCAGAAAGATTTTGAAACTGTATGTTGCATTTTTACAATTGACATCTGATGGAACAGATAGCCATGAGAAACATAAAGGAATACGTGTAGCTGAACAGGGGAGAAGAAAGGCGGCCAGCTCATGAGAAGAAAAGAGCTGACAGGAGGATGTTCAGTAGAAGCAGGAAACAGGAAAGTTACTTGGGTTTGAATCCAAGCTATAAATGATGTGAGACTTACATATAATTGGAAATTTCCTTTAAGAGATGTAAGAAGGCTAAATTTCAGAGGAAACTCTGATTTTATTCTCTCATAATTATAGATAGAGACAAAAACTAGACATTCCTCACCAAAACACTTATTACCATTTTTTTCCTGGTTAAATATCAGGTAGAATTGTCGAGTGCATCTATTTTTCTCATACTTAAACTATGGTTGACTATAATATAAAGTAACTAACATTATGACAGTAGATTAGGCACACTGTTGCCTAAGAACAGCAAAATCACTTCAAGAACACTTCAGACCAGAAAGGTACTGCTACAGCATTATCCAGCTTCTCAGATCCAGCTTGTCTTACAGTTCCTACCTCAATTCAACAGCAGAGAAGTACTACTGCGCTAAAAACTTAATGATCAATATTCTCCAATTCCAATCAAAAGCCTTGTAGTAACAAAAGAACCACTCCGCATTGAAATCAGTGGGCAAGTATAGTCTATACAAGCATCAACAGACAAAGAATTGCTCCCTTTCCCTTCCACAAAAAACAGTAAAAAAGAGAAAAAAAGAGAATAATTATATTTTTAAGAAACTTCAACATACTTGCTTGACTATTTGTAGCTCCTCTGTTAACTGTTTCTGTAAATTCACAGATGCAGACAATTTTTCCTGTTTTAAAAAAAGGAAGAAATAATAATTAGGTCTGAAAGAGTTTTTATTCCTAAAACCCAATTAGCTCTTTCAAAACTACACATAGCGATACTTATCTTCTATCAACGTACTTATTGCCTTCTGCACAACCACTGAGTTTCTAGGCCACAACATATGCCTGTTAATTGTGTTGTATAATCAAAATACACATATTTAAAAAGTTCTGGTGGAAATAATATATAATCAACAGCTTTTATAAAACCTGTGACAAAACCAAATTTTAATCTCTAAAAGCCAGCTTTTCAGAGAGTTCATTGATACTGTTTAAGTTTCTGAAGCATCTGAGGATTAATCACTGGACATTTCTGTGATATATGTGAAATACACATTTTAAGTCTCTTGTTACCTAGCCACCTAGCAAATGAGCAGAATAAAGACATTTGTGTGGCTTTTGCAGATTGCTGCACAACCTAATATTCACATCAAGTTATTTTCAACATTGTATATTTGACCATTCTTTCACTCACCTACTTATACCAGAAGCCCATAGGTACACCACTTTCCAAAGGTTAAAAGTTCTAACAAAGTTTTTTAAAAAAAAAAAAAAAAAAAAGGAAAAAAAAAAGTGCCATAAAAGTATAAAGATTCTCATACTGAGTCTGACCAAGGGATTTGTAGAATTGCCTGTATCCTGGGATCAATTTTCCAGCCCTGCCCGAGAAGAAGAGTTAGGTATGCTAAATACAGAAACAGAATTTTTTTATCTTTTGGGTTGTCAAAAAGAAATTCAGGAGCATCGGACTGTGGTTGTAACCCAGGGTATTAAGAAAGAATATATATATTTGTTGCTTTAGGTCTTATGTATTTTGTAATGTCTGTGAAAATATGTATTAATTTTGAAAACAGATTAATTTATACTCCAGTTCTGACTTGTTTCAAAAGTATTAGCATATGCTTAGACAGTGCAGTTGCTAGGATCACACATTTCTAAATAAAATTGCTATGCAAATCAGTCACTTCTCCAAATTCACTTTTGTTAAATGCCTGCTTAGTCTCATTTCTCTGTGAATCAGATTAAAAAATGCATTAGTATTCTATATTACAAATAAAATTCACTGTCTCCAGAAATATATTGTAAGCATACAATCTTCAATCATAATTAGGACTGTTTGCTCTGCCCTTTTATTTATTCATCAAAAATTACATATAAAATTCAAAAGAAAAACAGTAAATTACTATATACACTCAAAAAGAAATTAGTCTCTTCAGTAATTTAAAGCAAATAAAAATTAAGTATTACCTTTAATTTACTCATTTCTTTTAAAGCTTCATTTCTTTCTTTCTTAAGTCTTTCCATGTCATCCTCCAAAGAATCACAGGTTACAAACTGTGCGTATTTAAATACATAAGGTTAGAATGTATTGCTAACTGTATCTTCCATAATCTTTAACTTCTTATCTTGAAAGGTCTCATTAAGAAAATGAGAGGATAATCTTGATTTTAAACTAATTTAAAGCTCTGAAAGTAGTAAAAATGTTTAAGAAAATTATGACCAACTTATCTTCCAAAACAATTATTTTTCCTGTTAAAAAGGATTAATGAAAATATTTTTAGAAGTACCAAGAATACAACACTAATAGCCTTCAATATTTTATATATTTTAAATAATACATTATTTTGTTTTAGTACTCCTAGGCTGTAAATGGTCTTTCTTAAAGTCACCTCTAGAATAAAGTGATTTTCACTGTAGCAGTAGTTCAAATCACTGGGCCCAATAATTGTTTATCACTCACACAGGTAGTAGCAATATGTATTCCATTAAGAAACCTCCATAAATCGCTGTTGTCCATACTTATACTAAATCACAACATAATTACGTGAATTACTTTCTGCAAAGCAAGTTGTTTTGAAAAGCTTCACAGAAATTAGGTTATCTAAAACAACACTATGATATGGAGCTGTTATAAACCTCTGTCCAAGATTTGGAATAATCTTACATATAATAAGGTCTCCAATAATCTCCTTCCAACAGTTAAACACTGTACAGGCACATATTTTACCTGTGAATCCAGTAAGCTGGCAATTTCATTGACCCCAAACATTACAGATTTGTGGCCATCATCTGTTGCGTTCACTTGCATAGAAAACAGATTCTTTGAAACTTCAACGAAATCTAAAAAAAAACAGTTCAGATTTTGCTGGTGTAGTCCACAAGTTCAATTTAATAGCAGGATCACTAGATGCAACACAACTACTAACATCACAATGTATGGTTACCCTTTTATAAATGCAACGTCTACGCTCCATAAGCTTTCTAAATGAAAATAGGAAAATCAGACACATCTCTCTGAACAGAAACATTTGTTAAAGCTGGTAAGAATAAGAACAAAAATGTTCAAAACAGGTCTTGGGATGAAATATCCCTGAATCGTGAAAGGGAATATGGTGTGAAGTTCACCCTCAAAGTACCTGGTGAGAGATGCTCTACATTTGGCAGACCTCTGTAAAAAATTAGAAGAAATCCGCACACCTGTTACACACCTGCCCTTCCCAATGAATTGACCTTACTAGAGGAGACACAGTGTCTCTGCAGGAAAAAGGAAAAATTCGGTGCTAGCTCACACCTAATAGTTTCCTTTGCAGGTCCTTTAAACCCGATAGAGACCTGGTAGAATTGATGCTGACCAAGTTGGAAGTTTTAAATACAAACACTACAGCATTCTCAATCAACATGGCTTGGATTAGCCATTCATTTTGAATGTATATATATAAAAAAAAAAAAATATTCTGCTACAATTTGACAGAAAAGTGGAAATATAAAGGTTAGTTTGTTTACACCACACAAAATGTGACGGAAGTTTCAGTATCTTTCTTGATAAGGTACTTGAAAATCCAGTGTCTTTTTGGATGGTGAAGTATAATAAATTGTTTTTCATTTACTAGTGTTTGATGCTGTTTTTCATAAACTTCAGGAAAAGTGAAATTTCCATCAGCTTTAGCATCAGAACTATCATATGTCTCACAGTTTACGAGAAATAGTCTTAAATTGTTAGCGTCACGGACCAAAATTGTCATAACCAACAGAAGCAATTAATGCCCATCAGAATTAGGTTTAGCTAGAAGAAGAGTCATGATGGTCTCCATGCAAATCTCTTTCTTCAGGCAATAGTTGAAATGTTCTTGCTTCTCACAAACTAAACAAGTTAAATAATCCATCAATTTAGTTGCTTCAACAAGTCTCTTTAACCATCAATACTCTACAAGTAATTTTTGGAACAATTACAGTACCCTATTGTCAAGGCAAAAATTTAGGAATTTGTGAGTGCAAAAATCACAACTTTCTCAAGGCTGCTCTTAATTAGATAAATTTGTGATTTGCTTTCCAATTACATAGCTTCAGGATCCCAAGCTTATTTTTATACAGTAGAATGAGGTTCTTGCCTCAAAATATCTTTTTATTTGCAGTAGCAACCCAATACTGACAAAAAAATATCTTAATGGTTATTATCTATCATGTCTATATTCCTACATTTCATTATTTTCCATGGTAATTAACAAATTATTACCTCCAAAAGACACTGTTCCTTCAGAATCTTTCTGAAGTTGCTGCCTTAGGGCTTGCTGCTGTTCATCTGTGGGCTGAATCCCAAGATAATTCAATGCCTGGAAGGAGAAAACTTGTTTTGGAGAGAAAAAAAAAAAAAGAAAGGACTAGGGATAATGACTGCAGGGGCATGGGGGAGTAATTAAAGAGCTATACTTCAAAGAGCCTTTGTATCATAGCACACTCTCACTGAAAACACTTTTATTCCAGAGACGCTCTGTGACTTTTCCTTCTAATTGAGAGATGTTCAGATATTATTTAACCTTGAATACAGATGAGTGTAATAAGCAAACCCCTTTGTCCTTAATAACTGCCTTAAAAATCCTGAGGGATGTTCAGATTCCCAGAAGAGTTAATCAGTAATTAGATTAACAAAAACCAGTGATTTGCCCAATACATAAAATGAAATATTGGCCTGCAAGCTGAAAGAAGTATCCAAATAGGAAATTTGGTGTATAATTTATACCTTAAGGTTTCTCAGCCTTGAAATATGCTCCAGATGTTTTACATGCTTCATGAAGGGGGAGAAAGGAAAACTCGAAAGATTATAAGGATTTTACCCTCTCCAGCTTTTCTGCTTTGAGACGAATAGCAGAGTTCCTTCCTTGTAGCTCATAATCGTCATTCTGTCTGGGGGCAATAACTAAGAAGAAAAAACATTAAGATGAAAAACAGTACAGTTGTAACTATTGCTTTGAAAAATTTGTTCTGAAGCTCTGCTCATCAAATGGATGCCAGCTAAGTACCCACTTGCCACAAATAAATGTTAATATTTAGATTAACTTTTTTTGGTTAAAGGACATAATTGTAATAAACAAAAATTATAGGTATCAATCACTTAAACTATTTTTTCCACATCAAAAAGTGACAAGTAACAAATTAGCAGAAAGAAACCAGGAATAACTTAGAGCGATTCATCAAGCATACGGCTTATACTTGTGGTATTTTCTCTTCCCTCAGAGATATACAGTTACTCTGGAAACAGAAAGGGAAACACACTTTTGAATTCCGAGAAAGACCTTCAAGACACACCCTCAGCATAATCAACAGTTCCCAAAAGCATATCTAGTGATCTAGAAAACGCTGTGGAAAGAGAGGGAATGACCTGTTGCCAACTAAGGGCTGTGTGGAGCTAGCTTAGACTGAATTCCAGCAGGCTTCTCAGTATCTTTTCCTGGGAGAAACTCTTTTCCAAGAACTACCATCCATTAAGCCATCATCCATCATCCCCTCCTCTGCAGTCCTTATAGTCAGAAATACGAGTTTGCATAATTCTAGCTAGTTATTAGCTAAGTTATTAATACATTTTATTTCCAACATACACAAATAATTAAGCTGAGGAAAAGAAAAGAAGTTAGCAGTACTAAGCAGTCCATATGCAAGATTTCAGAATATTTGCTTGGGGGTTTTTTTTGTGTGCGTACTTAGTTTTAATGGAACTCAAGAAATGCAGTCACAGCTTTGTCGTACTTCAGACACACCTGTGGATACAACACGAAGCAGCAACCCTTGGAAGCCTTTGATCACACACAGTAGGCAAAAGGAGCAGTTAACTATCAATTTATTTGGATTTTAGATGTATGTAAATAGAATACATTCCTTGACTTGTTGTTGTGGGTTTTTTTTTTTTTCAGAAGAAAATGGAATACTTGTGTTTATTATTTATAATGAATTAAGATCTAAATTATATTTATTTCATTAATGGACTAGAGAGGTACTGAAACCAAAACCAGCATTTGAAAACTAAAGGATCTTGCAGTCTGAGATTCTTTCTAAAGGAACAGAAGGAATTGCAGAGAATTCTTTTCTTTTTTTTTTCTTTTTTTTTTCT